AGGAGGAAGACAAGGTTTGGTTTCTTGTTGAGGAAGTATCTATAAGCTGAGAGAGTGCTAGGTTATGATTTACCTCTAAGGGCAAAAGCCCATTATCACCAAGGTCAAGTATCTGTTTCAGTTTCCCTTCGGGCCAACTATAGACATGTAGATGCTTTCCATACAAGCCATCAGAGACGTCTTTCAGATCAAAGCCTTTCGTAAACGCTGCTGGTGCTCCCCAAGAGGTACTGATCATCGTCTCGTGCCGAGGTTGGTACCAGAAATCATACCCAAACAAAGGACTACTTCCTTCTTTCTCCCATCTATTTAAAAACAAGAAAAAGAAAGTAAATAGCTGGTACTAAAACCCGAAGTGAGAAGAAGGTTTTGCTCTATTTTACTTGTCATCCAAGAAACAGTATGAATCTATCCTTGAAGTTACCTTCTTTTAACGTTAAACTCAGAATCAAGTAAGAGAAACCCACTGCCTCCTGCGTTTCCGTCTTTGTCCCCAAGACAAGAAACAAGCAAATCTCCAGAAGCTAAGCAGTGTGGTTGATGTGGATAAGCCAATCCCGTCTTCTCCAGAACCTCAGCAGGCTCTACCACTCTGTGCAGAGATGGTTCCTTCGGGTTTGTTTTTGTATCGACCACGTAGATGCGACCAGACCTTTTCCAACCGGTTTCAGATGAAACCACAGATAACAGAACAAAAAAAAAACAGATGAAAAGATGTTTAGTTTCTTACAAAAGAGAGGGCAAGATGAGATAACGTCTTTCGCAAGAAGGGTCGCTATGGCAAGAGCTGCATGAGTTCCAGCCTGAGTGATGAAGTTCATCTCCAAGAAAAGGCATTGATAGTCTGTGGATGACACTTGAGTATGTTGACGAACTAGGATCAACATCTACTGTCGCTAAGTAATCAGGCTTGTCTTGGCCGGTGCCTGGACCAGAACGTTTCAAAGAAGTTTGTATATTTAGTGATATTACTAGTTAATAACCGTATTTGATCTTTAAACCTTTTCTATCTTTTATATCTATAGAGTCAAATTATTTTGTTTTTGTTTTTGTTTTTGTTTTTGTTTTGGTTTTTGAGAAAGGGTTTATAGAGTTCAAATTAGTTACCGGTGTAAATGGCAGCGACATAGATGAGATTCTCGCGTGAACCAGACATCGCGAGTAGAGGCGTGGCGTAACCCGGCCCACTCTTGCAGCAATCTCCACCATTGCTCATCGCCATTAGTAATTCAGGTGATGTTGCTACTGCATAATTGGCTCGCATTTATACACAATATATTCTGATTTCTGAAAGTTGGAGTAAACTTAAGTACGTATTAGAGCATCATCTTCATTTTTAAAATCACTTAGGTTTTTGTACATTACTAATCATTTCGTTTTTGATGACAAAAAACAGAAACTAATCATTTCGTTTTACGGATAATATTTCTCTTTTTCTTATATTAAAAACCCACGTTCCACCATCTCTATAATATATTTAGATTAGTATACCTATTAGATCATCATTTCATTTTTAAATCACGTAGGTTTGGACATTACTAATCATTTTTACGGATAATATTTCTTCTCTTTTTCTTCTACCTTAAATATCAAATATATAAACGACTATACCTACTGGAGCAACATCTTCAATTTTAAAATCACGCAAGTTTTGTTCATTACAAATTATTTTAGGGATGCTATTTTTCACTAGCTTGTTTATATATGTTTTCTTTTCTTTTCTAGCTTGTTTATATTAAAGTAAAAACACGTTTCACTTTTTTTTTTTTGAACAATCACACGTTTCACCTTGAAGATAATAAACCAGGCAGTGGCAGTCTTGTGGTAGGAATTAGGTTAGCTTTGGCATAAACTTTCTTGTTCTGGATTGTATTCCCAGAACTAGTTTTTGACCTCACTAAAAACCCGATGCTGAACTAGTCGTTAATATTGTTCTCTTTGGAGATACGTTGTATTTGATCCTAATCACCTCCGATTAACAAAAATATATTTATGTTCAATTTATAGCTCACCTGAACAATAAGACATGCCAAAAAAATATTATATCAAGCAATAATTGCTATAAGAATATATTATTTTTAAGGTGAGAGTAGAATGTGATCTTTTCATATGAGATTTAGAAAAGAAATACTATCTGTAGATCTTAAAATCCATACTCACTATTTTGTAAAGATCGAAAGTTCAATCAAGGGAAGACAAAGAATGTGGACAATAATGGTCTTAAACACAACGATATAATCGGACTTCGGTTGACAAGAATGGACTTTTATTGAATGTAGAATTCATTTACAAAATGATGAACAAGATCGAAAATAACAACAAAGAGTATAAGAAAGCGAACTAGAAATGTAAAGAAATGAGGTTGATGTAATTAGTGAATAGTTCTAAGTTTTTCTCGTGTCGTTGAATGTCTTTCTAGTTCTCTTCTTTTAGTCATTCCTTCCTCTAACTGCTTATGCGATCTCCGAGACCTCGTGTCGTTGAATGTCATTCTAGCTCTCTGCTTATTTCATGATGTGATGATAAAACTTGGGCCCGGGTCTTGTTTTGGACATCGGGCTCAACTTCGTTCTTGTTGTACTTCCCCGAACTCACTTGTTCACTTCCTTGACGAGCTTGGAATTAATGGGCCCGATTTTGGGTCCAACATTTGCCTCCCAGCCTTTTTAGTTTGGACAAACTGAAGAGGCGAAAAGCTTTATCTAACCGTTTGTCATCGACCATCTCGGAGAAAGCGGTGCCACGTGTATCGTCCTTGTCGGCCACTTTCTTCCATCGTGCGGTCGAGGTTGTTCGTCGACATCATCCGCTTTGGGAACCGTTTTTAGATCCTCATTAAATAGGTCATCTTCTTCGTTGAAATTATCTACTCTCTTGTGATTTCTTCGAACCTCTTTCTCTTCTCCTGTTTCACAGTTTCTAGTTTCTGATATCTTGATGGCAAATTTTTGGTTTCCTCCTCATCTCCCTACTATTATCGAGGGTAAACATCTTGATAGCATCCATGAGTTATGGGGAATCCCCTACGAGGTGGAGATCGACATCGCGGTGGGTGATGAAAATCTCGAGAACGTTCGTGATGGGTACTGTGGTGCTTATGTGACGCACTTTAAAGACTGCGGTCTGTCGTTCCGCTTCCTCCATTTCTCCTTGAAGCTCTTGCCGAGATGGGAATGGCTTTTACTCATATGTGCCCCAACTTCCTTCGCTATTTTCTGGGTTTATGGATTCGGGCTCAAGAAGAAGGTCTCAGGTTCGGTTTAGAGGAATTAAAACAACTTTGCACGGTTAAGCACAACGCGCGTTTTCTCGGCACCTACCTTTTTTCTCCCCGCGTTGGTCGCACTGTCATTGAAGGTATTCCTGGTAGAGATGACAGATGGAGGGGGAAATTCTTCGTTTTCAAGATAAACTCGGCTTTGGTCGGAGACTTCGACTTTAATCGACTCCCCCGCGATTGGTCAGGAGATATATATTTGTTCTTCTTTACATCGAGAGTTAATTCCTACGTTTATGTTACTTTCTTCTTAAGCTTTCGTTTTACTCTTCGTAAATGTAGAGCTTTTTGGGAGCGCTCCGATAACACCCGAGCTTCGGGGTTTGGTAGAGACTCTACGTCGAGGTCAAAATCGCTGGTCTTCCTTCACCGTGCAACGTATTAAGGCTGCTCTTGCGCTTCCTCCGGGACAAGGTCGAGCTGCACCCGTTGGTTTAGTGAATCCGGTTTGTCCATGTGGTGGTCGTCTCTGTGAGGTTTTTCTTTCTTGGAATCCTTTAAGTGCTGAAAATTGTTTTTTCCTTGCTTAACCGTGTGTGTTTTTTCTACATTTTGTCTACCTTTAGGAGTAAGGAAGAGGAGTCCTTCTCTTGATGGTTCCGATGCTGCTCCTGAGGTCGAGACGTCGGAGAGAGAGAGAGTAAATCACCCCATGGTTCTGTACTTCTTTCGAGGTCGAATATTCGACTTCCCGGAATCTTTGCTCAACCGCTGGCCATTGCTCTTCCGGTGGCTGAGAATCAAATGGTCCCAAATCAGTCGGCAGAGTCTATGGGCAATCGTCATGGTGGTAGTCGCACTGCTGCCGACCAAACTCATCGTCGCTATCTCAAAAAGATAATTTCTGCGAGTTTAAAACTCGTCTTCTTCTGAGAGTTCTTCGGATGGAAGGGCATCTAGAGGCGGTCAATGTAGGGTAGGTTTTGAACGACCTGCGTTCGTCCATTTAAGAAACTTAAATAGTAAACTGTTAAACTCGATTACAAAAATAGATATATGTTAATTCTTTAAACAATGTAATTATAACCACTGATTACACATTAATCAAATAACGTCGTTTTGCTTTTGTAAACACTTAAAGCATCTTATTCGCGAAACCAGAACCCCAAATTGACTTCATCTTCCTTATTCTGAGTCAGGAAGATGAAGTCAATTTTGGACTATAGGTTCGCGAAAGAGATGCTTTAAGTGTTTAAAGAAGCAAAACAACATTGTTTGACTGATTTTTTAAAACAACATCGTTTACAGAGTTAACATACATCTATTTAATAATTATGTTTAAGTGTTGAATATTTGATTTTCTTAAGTGGCCGAATCAACAAAATATGAGATTTAAAATGACCAATATTTGAAAGTTGAAGATTTTTTTTTGGCTCAAAGACAGTTAAAGATTTTTTTGACTTTAGTTTGAAAGTTCAGGGTTTTAATGGTTGTTTTCTCGTTTTTCATATGAAGTATCAACATTTATTGTGTTGACACAAACCCATTACAAGTTTAAATACGTTCCAACTTCCATAGAAATCGTAAGTTTATTGTCCAATCTAAACCCAAATATCGGAAGTGCAGTCACCGCCAGGATATCTCATCTCATGAGCGAGAGCAGGACCATCTGGTTCGGACCCAAAGTCGACAAAGAAATTAGGGTTTATGGAGAGACCACCTTGTCAGTGTCAACATCAATCTGCAACATGTGTGAACCTTTTTCCACAAGTTCTGGATAAAACTATTTGTCCCAAACGCTAACCAACGAGTTCGTCACGTACAGTCGCTTCCAATCTAAGCTCAGCTGAAACATTTGCGGGCCTCCTCTCAGACGCTGATCCTAAAAACAAACAAGAAACAATTTATATTACAATAGTGTGTAAAACAAGTAACAACAATTAATTAACCTTTATTCAACTGACCTTGATGTTAGGGACATCGAACTGAAAGGTCTCGTCTTCTTCTCCTATGGCCAAGATATGGCTTCCCTTCTGAACCAGCCCGCCTACATGAAGTTGACCAGTTAAAATGGGTGTTTTTGGGTCTTCGATGTTGTACTGACGAATATATCTGTGAAGCCAGTTGGAAAAATAGAGGAATCGGTCGTCAAGGGATATTAGGAAGTCAGTAATAAGCCCTGGCATCTATGGAAGAATCCAGTTTTTAACTTTCAGAGGTTTCACCGAAATCGCCACCTTAAAAATTATGAGCTTGTTGATAAGAAAAAACAAAATACATGAACAAGATTCTATCATAATGTAGAAAACCTACCTCATGGCTCCATGTTTCATCCTCGTTCTTGAAGAATCTCACAATAGTACTTGACAAAGCACATCCTGTAAATCCCGTAGCTTTTGTGGGGTCGTGCAAGAATCTTATCTGCACCAAAAAATAGAGTAGGAGGAAGACAAGGTTTGGTTTCTTGTTGAGGAAGTATCTATAAGCTGAGAGAGTGCTAGGTTATGGTTTACCTCTAAGGGCAAAAGCCCATTATCACCAAGGTCAAGTATCTGTTTCAGTTCTTCTTCGGGCCAACTATAGACATGTAGATGCTTTCCATACAAGCCATCAGAGACGTCTTTCAGATCAAAGCCTTTCGTAAACGCTGCTGGTGCTCCCCAAGAGGTACTGATCATCGTCTCGTGCCGAGGTTGGTACCAGAAATTGTTGGTGTCAAAAACCGTAATCTTGAAATCAGCGTCTACGATAACTTCTGTAAAAGATGGAATCATTGCTTTCCGCAAGAATTATTTTATCAAACTCGAGAGATCGTTTTATAAAACTAGAAGAATCATTTTACAAAACTCGAGGATCGTTTTATAAAACTCGAAGAATCGTTTTATAAAACTCGAAGAATCGTTTTATAAAACTCGAGAATCGTTTTATAAAACTCGAGAATCGTTTTATAAAACTCGAGAATTATTTTATAAAACTCGAAGAATCGTTTTATAAAACTCGAGAATCGTTTTATAAAACTCGAGAATCGTTTTATAAAACTCGAAGAACCGTTTTATAAAACTCTAAGAATCGTTTTACAAAACCGCGAAAAACCGAAACCGCCGTAAAACGCGAATTAGCTTCGTCCCGGCTAGATCGCCCAACGGCGAACTAAGCCAAGCCGGCTTAGTTCGCCGGTGGGCTAACTAGCCTCATCCCGGCTAGTTCGCCCAACGGCGAACTAAGAGCGTCCCGGACAGTTCGCTGACCGGCGAGCTGGACCGGTCCGACTCGGTTCGCCGTACGTCAAACCGACCATCCCGAGCCTCGATCTCCCGTATCCCCGATTCAGTGCTTACGTCCTTCGATACAGTCGTGTTCTGAACCACGGTCAAAATGTCTCCCGTTTCATCTCGATCCGACTTATCATTCGAGTTTTACGATAAAAACCGTAAAACTTTGTTTTCTCGAAAAGAACTCGAGGAAATCATATAAATCGACAACGGTTAGACGAGACACCTAACATTGCCTAAACTATACGATTTATTCGAGATTTTTCGTTAAAATCATAAAAACGCGTTTTTAATACAAACGTCGAGAAAATCGTAAAAACGGTAACGAATAACCAAGAAACGAACGCAGCTAAACTTTACGATTAACTCGGGGAATTTACTAAAAACGGCATCGGGTCAGGAAACGAACTCGTATAAAGTCATAAAACGGATTTATCGTAGAACAACCCGAAAGGTCTTAAAACACGATAAAAGTCCGTCTCGTAATCTTAACGAAATCTAACCCGAAGACACGATAACGTTTTGATGGTTTACTCGCAGAAGAATGATAAATGTCAAGTTTGAAGATAAATGGCAAGTTTGAAGATAAATAGAAGATTTCCGCGGGAAAAAAGGAAGGATTGAGAAAAATGGAAGATTCCCGATAAACTCGAATCCGGGAAAAATGGAAAGACTGAACCGCCTGGGAGAGGAGTATATAAGCCAGAGGCATAGGGCAAGAGCAAAGGGACGATTTTCAGAGCTCTCATGTGAGACTTTTACAACTTTTCTAGACTTAGAATTTTTCGCACTTAGAAACTTAGGTTTTTTTCTCGACAAGTTCGGTCTCTATGACTGGCGCTCAATTACTAGACGAACTCACCTAGGCGGTTCGATCTATGGTCCAGCTCTATCAACTGAACTACGTTCGACTTGATCCTCGAAAGGGGTACGTAGCCAGCCTTTCATAAGCTTCAGTCCGAAATCAATCAAATCCTTTTTCTTATCTTTTTCCGTCTTTTTTTTATCGAGCTGCGACTCGATTAGGTTTAAGGTTTTCATGTTGATAACTCGCTGACGGCCATGCGGCCAAAGCCTTTGTAAACCCTTGTAATGATCGCAACGCTTTTACGCGAAATCGAAATAAGATCTACTTTTTCTTTAAATTCGTTCTATTACGTTTTTCGTATTTTTCCGCATTTATTTGGTTACTTGTCGTTGGCTTTCGTAGAGATCCGGTTCCTCTGGAAAATTAGGGTTTTCCTAATTTTCCTTATTTAACGGAAATCGACAAGTGTGAATTCCAGTTCCCACAGTTTGGCGCTAGAAGGAGGGGGGTCGGATTACTCTTACTCATAGCCGCAAAACGCTTGACCAAAACGATGTCTGGATGTATGAAAGACAAAGTCGCAACTCGCAAAAAGACGCTGGTAAAACAACTCCAGCAGCGACTGCTCCTACAGCCAACGCTCACGCAAACGCTATAGTACTCAACAAAATCGAAAACCTAATCGCGACTCTTCGCCACGGGAAGAGCAACAAAACATGCTCTTGATTTCTATCTCAGATCACTAAGGGCAACGATAAAATCTATCAAACCCCATAGTGTTTTTCTTATTTCCGAGTTGGACTAATCTCATGGGTTAAGCAAAAGATGTCCTCGAGGCACTGACTTCTCCCCGAGGGTCCGCACAACCCAACTCATGGTGAGCCTGATCGTACTCTAAACAATAGTCGTACAGATTTTTGTTTCGTCTCAATCGGACTTTCCGTTGAGATTCTACGACGAAAACAGTTCAACTCGACGAATCGAGATCACCCGCGCCAAGCGTCTTAGCTTGCCGAACGTAGAGCTAAACCAAGCTGGCTTAGCTCGCCGAACGTAGAGCTAGCTAGCTCGCCATACAGCGAGCTGAACCAAGTGCCTAGCTTGCCCGAGAGACGCCGACTTTGCCCCAAGGGTTCTTACCATCCGGATCGCCACACGGCGAGCTGAAAGGGTTCACCCGACTTGCCCTACGTCGAGCTGAACCAATCCTCGAGTTTCTCTCTCGAGTCTTGATCGCTGATTCTCGTTTTGTCTCAATCAGAATTTCCATCGGGATTTTACGATAAAACCATAAAGACTTGTTTCTTCGTATAAGTTCGAATCAATCGTCTAAAACGGCAACGGTTGACTTAACACCAAAGTTGCCTAAACTATACGAGAAATCTGAACTCTCTATACCCAATCCGGTTCTACGAAACTCTGCCACGCTAAGTCGAAAACATCCAATCATAAACACGTGACTGATTTTTTCGATATACAAAGCGCACCTAGTCGGTCAAATAAAACCAGCAGTACGAGAAACAAGAACATGAGCTCCGATGATTAAGTCTTCTCCCCGCTCCGATACTCTTTCTGGTAATTCGTCGAAGACCGGTAAGTCAAAAGAAGAAGAACGAAGAATAGACGATCTCAAATCATCGATGAAACTATGGTATGTCCGATTTGAAAATTTTATTAGACTTCTAATTTCTCGTAGGTAAGAAACGAAAATGTCTTGTAAACTGCCGTGAAACCTAGAGAACTTAGAATTTAGAGGATAGTCTAGCATGCTAAGTCGTAAGCAATTTTTGTCTATCTCGATTTGTTGTTCTCTAACCATTCAGGTATAACTCGCAAACCGATCCAATCTCTCGTACAACCGAGAAACGATCGCCACACATTCAAATGTACTCATTTCCTAAAAGAAAGAAGGAGCTAGAGACGCTGACGTCGTCTTAAAACCGACTCGCTTCTAGAAATTTTCGTAAACCAGACATACTCCAAGTCATCGCCAATCTACCACAGACTTTAACCAACCCGGATTTTCGATCATCCGAATCCTTCAAAGGAAACTCATCTCTTTTCTTTTCATCGAATATTTTCCCTCGCATCGAGAAAATGCTTTCTATAAAGCAAACTCTCGCCAAAACAAGAAAAAATATTCGGATAATGTGACGCCTCGTCAAAATCATCCCAAAAGCAAACGACAATCTAAGAACCGTCTAGGCGCTAAAGACTGATCCAAACCGTCTGGGAAATAATCTCGAGGAATATACAGCATCTCTCGGCGCAATCATGCTGTTAGAAAATCTCTGCGAAACTTCAGAGCAAAACTCGATGATTTGCCGAAGTCATAGAGATCTTCTCGCACTTGATAAAACAAGTATAAGAATCGAAAAATTATACGAGAAATCTTTAGGCATCAAAGTATTGATCTCGTTTTCCGTCAAACCAAGTGAGTCACGGAATAATGTCAAAAACATTTGCGGCGAAAGAAAAATCGAGAACACAAAGCAGCAATAGAGAACACGTCCTCCCTTCTCGCTGACTGATCCTACTGCTGATCATGTGATTCATTCCGTCCGAGAAACCTGCTCAAACATTTTGCGACTAGATCTCGGTGAAATAACTTTTGGTAAAACTCCGCGAGTGACTCCGAAAAAAACCATCACCGAAAAATCAAAAACTAAGCGGAAAGGTTTTTCGAAAAATATGTGGAAACATTGATAACCCAATGCGTCGTGCCGATTTACTAAATTCATCGCCTGTTGCTTACGCGAGAAATCGTTCGTATAGTCAGGATCATGTCATAATGAAGCAACTTTCAAAGTAAACGTAACAGGTTTTGCGAAAAGTACTTTCCTTATAGCGAAAACCAAGCTATACGATCCGGCACTGGGCGGCCAATTTAAACTTTGCCTCCTCGCGACACAATCTGAAAGATCTCACTCTTTAGCCCATCGGTTCACGAGCATCCACTCTCATTCCTCCCGTTTACATCCGAGAATGAGACCGCCCCGCAAACGACTCCGCACGGGCTCTGCATCGAGCTTCTTAGGATCTGTCTCCCTCGAGTAAAAAAAAAAACTTCCATACAAAGGAAAGTTTATACGAAACTTTCACCGTAGAAATCAAACATACAACGGAAAAACGTTTTCTATAAACATGGGCATACTTGGCATATCAAGCTCGACAAATGCTACTTGGCTATGGTCCGATCGCGCTTCACTTCAATGCCAAGTTTACAAACCGAGTCGACCTTTTCGATAGCACAAAAGTGTCGTGGTCTAATCCTCTACCAAATACGACCTTGGCTGTGCGGCTGAACACAACCTTCACACCAAACCAATACATTCAACGAATAATGCAAACTTGTCGAAAATCGGCTAAGTTCTGTATTCTCGCGATTCACTCTATTCCCAAGCAAGTTGCCTACAAAATCCGACGTATAAGAAAACACTCGTACCAGAGCTCCTAAAGCCGTACGAATCTCGGAAGGTCAACACTTCACAAAGCACCGTAACGAAAAACGCTTCGTTTCGGGGAAACAACTTACGCGACCTCTCGGTCCTAACTGCTCTAGCACAAATCATAAAACTACCTAACATCCAAACAGGAA